CTATCTATCTATCTATCTATCTATCTATCTATCTATCTATCTATCTAGAGAGACAGAGAGAGAGAGAGAGAGAAAGAGACAGAGAGAGAGAGAAAATCGCCAGCTGGTTTTTCTAAGGAAGGACTTGAACTCACAGTCCTAGTTTCTAACCCAGGACTGTAATCAACTACCTCAATCTGGCTCTTACATTTCCCCTACGCTCAAACACAGATAGTCCTTGACTTATGAACCCCATTGAGCCCAACATTTCCGGCCTTCCGGAAATACCGGAAGTGCTGAAAAGGGCCCATTTTCAGCCTCCCGAGGCTGCGGAGGCTTCCCTCGAGCCGCCAGGAGGGCAAAACCAGCCTCAAACGGGCCAAAAACCAGCTGGGAGGCACACGCATGCGCAGTGTAGGTAAGGGGGCGGGGTGGGGGTGTTGCATGCGCATGCATAGGGAGGCGGGGTGCATTGCATTGTGGGTGCCCTCCCACGTGCTTTTGGCACACCACAACAAAAAGGTTCGCCATCGCTGATCTATAGAAACAACAACAAAAGTACTTCCTTCAGTTTAAGGCTTAAACTCTTTTAATTTGCTCCAGTGCCCAAGTTCAGAAAGCAGCTTGTTTATTTCATTTTTTCCCCCCTGCTTCCTTATACATTTCAGATTTCCACATCATGGCGTTTAAAGTCTTTTTCCCTCTTTGCTGCGCTTCGGCTGAAAGTGGCCTTCTGATTGGACGCTGGATTCCAGAACAGAACTCCGTTGTCATCCTGGCTGTGATCCATTTCCCTTTGATTCCCGGTCAGGTGAAGCAGTACCTCTCCAAAATGCAACATGCCACCCAAGTCCAACTGTCCGTGTTGGGTTCTTGGACTAACAGCCAAGAAAAACAGACTTTGCAAAGGTTCATGGAAGACCTGGGCACCATTTTTTCCCAGGGCCCCTGGATCCAACTCAGCCGGCGAAAAGACAGCAAGTTTTGGAACTGTTTGGCCACCTGGAAGGAATCCAGCGGTGGCAGCGGCATCGAAGAAATCATCGTGATCTATTACGACCAGCGTAAAGTGATGTTGTCAGAGCTTCACCCTCCTAACAGTCACGGGGTTCCTTCCGGTCAGAAGGCAGTTGACGCTTCCAAGCTAGCTGCTGTGTTTGACACCGTTGCGAAAAGCCAAGCGCTCTTCACGAAGGACCGGTATGACGAGGGACCCATCAGGCTCACCCACTGGCAGTCTGAAGGGGTGGAGGCCAGCATTATCGTAGAACTCTTGAAACAGGTGTCTGTCCCTGCTTGTGCGCTGATAACACTCCTCCTTTCCTTTGTGGCTGGCTGCTGTCAAAGCAGGTAGGTGGGTCGAATGGGAGGAAATGACGGGAAATGGTAGGATTCAAAAATGGGGAACTTTTCCCTAAGCGACAGAGAGCTCACCTTTAGTAGAAGGGAGTACACTGTGCCCTATTTCACTTGCTCTTGAAACGTCAATGTTTCCGTTCGCAAATGCGTCAAAGGAAAACAAGAGACAGATCTTGTCGCCAACCTGATTCTCGATTCTTTCATGTTGAGGGGTGGCTTGGAACAGTGCTCTTCAAATCATGCCTGATCGCTCCATTCCTGGAGCCCAGAAATCCCAGGGGCAGAATAGACTTTTGCAATAAAATGGATTGTTTGTTTGTTTATATCCCACCTTTATTATGTTTATAAATAACTCAAGGTGGCAGACACACAAAACTCCCCCCTCCTCCTATTTTCCCTCATGACAACAACCCCTTTGAGATGATGTAAGCTGAGAAAAAAATGATTGGTCCAAAGGCACCTAGTCAGTTTTCATGCCTAAGGCAGGACTAGAACTCACTGTCTCCTAGTGGTTGACTCAAAGTCACCTTTTCAGTTTTCATGCCTAAGACAGGACTAGAACTCACGGTCTCCTAGTGATTGACCCAAAGTCACCTAGCCAGTTTTCATGCCTAAGACAGGACTAGAACTCACTGTCTCCTACTGGTTGACTCAAAGTCACCTTGTCAGTTTTCATGCCTAAGGCAGAACTAGAACTCACGGTCTCCTAGTGATTGACCCAAAGTCACCTAGCCAGTTTTCATGCCTAAGGCAGAACTAGAACTCGCTGTCTCCTAATTTGTAGCCTAGTGCCTTCACCACTAGACACATTGGCTCTCAGGAGTTAACTCAGAAGTGGGAGTTTAGCAGTTGCAAGGCCCCATGTTGTCGACTTTCCATCCAGGCTAAGGCCTCCCAGTGTTTCGAATGGAAGATCCCCAAAATGCCAACCTCCCACCCCCTCCCAATTCTGAGTGGGTGTGGAATTAAAAAGATTTTTGGGGTGAGCTTATACTTTAGAGTAGGCTATCAGAGGGGATCTTGTTGTACTGCAAAGAGGGATTGAAGTTTGGTTTCCAAGCTGGCAAAGGGAAGCTTGATTAATTCCATTTGGATAGTATCTTCTCAGCCATTCAAACCTTAGCAAGTGCAGCCTTGGGCTACGAAAACAGAAACCATAGGCGGGTTTCCAACTGAGTAATACTGTCGTAAAAGATTACAGCTACAGTATTCATACTATCTGTTGGAAGTAGAAGCTTATTAGCTTTCACATGTATTTGAAGTGCCTGTGGGGGAACTGAAGGCCTTTGGAGAAACAACAGTCTTGTGCATACAGATGACTAACATCAGCCTGGTTTAAATCATTTTCTGTTGAGTTAATCAATGGTTATTTGTGAAACATTCATTGAAAGTTAGATTGTTGAACTGCTAAAGAAATGGGCTGAATGTTGCTCACATCCTCAGGATTCCTGCTGCCACACAGGGAATCTTGGACCTAATGGATGATGAGAACTAGTGGCCTTTTTCCTGAGATAAAGTCGGGAAAACATACTAGGATAGACAAAATGTATGGACCAACTCCCAGAATTCCCCAGCCAGCATTCCCTGCGCTCCCAAAATTCCCCAGTCAACTTTAAACATGTGAATTTCAATTCCCAGAATTCCCCAGCCAGTATTCCCTATACTCCCAGAATTCTCCAGTCAATTTTAAAGGTGTGAACTTCAACTCCCAGAATTCCCCAGCCAGCATGTTAAAGGTGAGTTCTGTGCTGTCTACACAAGATCCCTTCGTTCTTTAATCAAAGTTGCATCCTACCAGTTTTTCTATAGGAGGTAATCAAGCTTTGCCAATACAATTAGAAGTACGAGCATTGCAAATGGCGGTCAGTTTATATTTAAAATGCTGTATGTTTTGAAAGTCAGTTTGACTTTGGTTAGGACATGGGCCTAGAAACTGGGAGGCCATCCGTTTTAGCCCTGACTTTGGCATGAAACCAGCTGTCTGATCTTTGGCCGGTCGCTTTCTCTCAGTCCTAGGAAGAGGGTGTTGGCAAACCACTTCTGAAAGACCTGGCCAAGAAAACGGCAAGGGACTTCTTCTCCAGGCAATCTCTGAGAATCAGACACGATTGAACCGTGGGGTGTGTGTGTGTGTTAAGTTTTATCATGCAGGCTACAAAGAGTGATATGGATGTGAGCGAGGCGGTTACCTTCATTGTACATTTAAGGGTTTTGGGTTGCTCTTTAGTGCCATCTCTTGGTTAGAAAGGGTTACTTTACATTTATCTTTTTAAAAGAGCCAGTTTTACTTGTCTATGGAGATTCTCAGTCATCCAGGTTGTGATTGTCCCAAAGGTGCTTTTTTCAAGAGGCTGAAGAAACTTCTTGGATGAGAAGCGAAACATCTTCAAAGTAAAACCAGAAAGTCCAGTTGCCTCTTGAAAAAGCATCTTTGAGACAGCAAGTTCACTTGTGATTCGATTTGCAAACTTTCCTATGTTTATCAGAACTCTTGATAATTCACTTTTGAGCCCCTTTCTCTCTTTATGGTGACTTGTATAGAAATTGTGTAATATTTCTGACATTCCTTCAGACTTTCTGAAGTCTAAACCCTCTGGATTGGGCATTTTAGGTACATTATGGTGTCCGTTTGGGGAATGAGTTTGTGGTTAATTTGTTCAAATTCATTCAATAGTTGAAAATATGAAATGACGGATTCCTAAGAGCACACAGGTTGTGCTCACTTAACAGTCCTTGAATGGCAAAATCCCAAACAGTTTTACAGAAAGTCGACAAGGTATTCAAGTAAAAAGCTCTGGAGTGCTTTATTAAAGAGAAAAGCGTATCATTTTTCTGACAGTCTTAAGCAAGAATAATTACTCCAACCGTATTTCTGGCTTTCTGACTCTGTACTGCACCCTTTTACCCATGAATACAGGATTGATATATTCTTTCATAAAAACAGTTAACATTTCTGGAAATTGGAATTAGCTGTTGGAAAAAACAAATGGCTCCAACAAATGCTAGTTTTTTTTTTTAAAAAAAATAGTTTGGGCGTAAGATTGTTTGCTTTTTGCTGATTCATAGGCTGGAAGCATACAAAATAAAACCCTGAAAATATTATCTGATCCATTAACATTCCTTAACTGCTCCTTCCCAGTAGCAAGGCCTGGGACAGGGAGATTTAAAAGCTAAACGATTCTCGTCTCATCCTGACAAACTGGAGAGAGAAAAAATAGTCACTACAACTATAATCTGGAGCAGGTATATTTTATATAAGCAGCATGTTTCAAGTTCAATGGAATATGGAGCCATTTCAGCCTGGCTTAATTTATATCCTGCCTTTGCGTTTGGAACGCTCGCATTCAACCCATAAATAGAATAATAAGAGGAAATGAAATCCCATCAAGCTGAAGAGGGAAATGCAAGCCACATGAACCTGAGGTCACGCATTGCGCATAAGCAGCCATTCCTCAAAATTTTATTTTATTCCATCTGCCAATTTCCTAGGGATTCTGTCTGGGGAGGTTGTACTTGGTAGTTAGACAATGCTACATTTGAAGGATCACGTTTTGTTCACTGTGGCCCATTTGCCACTTCTTTTTACCTGTCAGCTTTCTGCTACTTCGTTATTACCGTACCTTCAAGAGGCATGAAATAGACTAGTGGTGGCTAACCTTTTTGGGCTCCTGTGCCAAAAATTGTGTGCGCGCTTGCATGCTCGCGCTCACGTGCCAGCACCCAGAAGGCAATGCGCGCCTCCCCTCATGTC